GACCTGTTATTCATTTTCGAAATTCTTCGAAAAAGCTATAGTTGGATCATACATATCATTCCTTGAGATATGAGGAGACACTCTAGAAAGTACCAACGGAGAGCCGTAGCAAGTATATAAGAAAAAATATCAAAAATGATGATAACCCGTGAGTAGAAGCCCTGGTATTGTTGATATATTTTGGAGCGGTCTGAGTACTGAAATCTACAGTTCATTCCTAAAATTTGAGGATAGTTTTGAGCATTTTCCCTTTCTCTGTGCACCTAAGACAGCTGCTGACGAAGGTAATAATTATCGAGTTTGATTGAAGTTAATCGAAAAGTAGATTCTGGATAAATTAAGATTCAGGCATTTACCTTTAACTGCTCATTTGTTCCCTCATTTTCGATTTACGTAAAGGTCTGTCTATCTCTGTCAGTTCAATACTCGAATCTTTTGATTCGAAATTGTTCCGAAGTAAGAGTTCTCCAGTGGTAATATCGTGATTAAAACGGCCTTTAGTGGCATATTAATATCTCCACTGTGAACGTTTTTTGTATTAAGTATTGGTTCTTTAAATTTGATGTATATATATTTGCCTGTTTTTTTTACATTAGTTCGTTGCAAATAACATAAATTTTAAAAATGCATGCAACACAAAGAGTTCCTCTTAAATGACAACGATTGTCACATGCAAGAACAGTTTAGTGAAAGAGCGCATGTGCCAGTTGATGAAAGAGCGCATGTGCTAGTTTATTTTCTTCTATAAAAGGTAAAGTATCAGTTAAATCATCACCTTTCCTATTCACATTCTATTGCTATCACATATCATTCCTCAGACCTATATAATCATTATCATGAGCTCTATGCCGCTATTGATTGCAGAAGATTGTTCACCACTTGTTGATATCGATCACACTCATTTTGGAAATATTCCAGTATTACATTTATCGAGTCAAGAGTCGATTGATGATTTTGATATTAACGACTTCTTTAACTTTGCAGATGTGCCGGAACCAATTGAGCAAATTGTTGAAAATCCAATCGTTTCGTAATCATCACCACTCAAATACCCTACATCTACTTGGTGTTGATAAGAAATCTAGAACAATCAAGAGGAAGGCTACTAATGCATCTTCATCGATTGTCACTGACGTCAAAGAAAATAATCAATCGAAAAGTGTTGTGCGAGAGAAGAAACCCACACGAAAAGTGACAGATCGAAGAGGAAGACAAAAGGTGTACCTGAAGAAATGAAGGGTGGTGAATCGCAATTTTCGGTTTGGAGATATGAAAAAGAAAGAAAGCAAAAGCCGCCTTGTAGAGGCACAAGGCGGCTATTGCTGAACACGAAAAGGGTGAGCGAGCTATTAATGTTAATAAAGGAAACTCTTCAAGAATTAGATGCCGAGATTGCATTAGAGAAGGTTGAATTGGCGAAAATGTGTGAAGATGCAGATGAACTCCGTTCAAAAATTGTGAAAGATAACCAATTCAATCAACGTTCGAAAATGCGAGTTCAGGCAGAGCTTGAGGAGTCGACTCAACTTTATGAGACGGCATTATCAGTGACAGATAATTGGCGAAAAGAGTTGGAGAGTGCATTTCAAAGTGACAGCGATTAGTTTTGCGAATGGTAATGTGTTTTCAATATCGTGAGTTGAAAAATATAAGCGGGAATAGAGTATACAATCAATTTAGTTTGGTATACACAGGACGTTGCGAATGGCTGGGGCAACGTTTACCGCTGCAATATTCTTCAATTCACATATGATTGGAATGAAAACAATAATGAACTTCAACAATACTTTATTCATAAATACATCAGTAGATACATTTAAACCATATTTGATTCATCAATCCAAGAATATTGTTCGCTAGGAAGGCCTAACCACTTTACATATACTTAATTTTTCAACCTTTGAATTTCAATTATGTTGTTGAATCAACATTGATGGGTGCCATACCTATTGTAAGATGAAGTTTATTGTTATATCTACTAGTTATAGTTGAAAGAATATCAAGCCGTTTGTGGTGACCTCTCATCGAAAATTCTTTGTAGAGCCATGTCTTCATTGTACGAATCACTCTTTCTGCTATAGCCGCGTTCTTTGTGCAAAATGTTCAATAATGATTGATAATATATTCTCGCATGAGAGATGAGAATTTTCTATTGAAAAATTCTTTCCCTCGATCGCTTTGTATATGTTTGGGGCAAAATTTGGGTTCCTTTAGTACATGTTTCATTGCATTAGTTATTGTACTACCTGTTTTATCTTTAACTGCTACAGTCTACAGATATTTTGAGTATATATCGGTATCCTTTATTACTTTTTGCGTAAGGTTGTAGTTCAGCTAGATTTATTTGCCATAGATCTGCGAAACCTTTGCAGATGATTATTCTTCTGCGAAAATTACGTCTTGCAGGTCTATGTAATTCTATAACGAACAACTTGTCGTTTGACCATCACTCATTTAATTAGTCATTCTATTTCAATATGATTGAAGAGAAAAGGTGATAATGTTACTTCATTGAATGATGATGTGACTGTGATCAGTACTTGTGAATATACCTTCTTCTTAGTTGTGGATTATACCTTCTTCACGTAATTATCCAATTATTGAAATCATTTCATTGTCATATCCAGTATGCCCAGCTGAAGCTACCAATAGTCGTAACCGTGCAACTAACTCTTCCGGTGAATTCCAGTACACATGAGTCACAGGTTTAAAATTATGTTTTCTCCATTTTCACTCGTTTGACTCCACCAATTTTACTTCCACTTCTTATTGGATATTGTGGTGATTCTAATAGAGTTTTGATAACTTCACGAAATTTTTTAGAATTTGTATTTCGAATAGAGTTGTTCTCATATCGTCTTGAAGTGTGCTCTTGTCACTATTCACAGATGATACACTATCAGAAGATTGTTTTCTTTCTATTGGAGTTCTCATAGGATAATTTGAAGTATATTGAATATTCCCATGGTTTGACGATAACACTGATGATTTCGAAGTAGCGTTTGATGATAACCCAGATAACAAGCTGAGGTCATTTGTACGTCATTATTTCGTCATGCCTGATGTCAGGATTACTTCCGAAATGGCGTCATAATGACGTTTATATGACCTTATAAGTCAAAGACGAATGACGTCAAACTAACGTCATTTTTATGACGTCAAACTAACGTCATTCTTATGACCTCAAACTGAAGTACCATTCATGATGTCAAAATGGCAATTTTATTGCAGGAATCTTATTTAGAGCCGTTATTATAATGTTGGTTTTGACAATACAATAGAGTTCAAATCGAGATTATAATAATAGCCCTTAATGCGATAAGATCATGTATTTTCAATATATATTATGCAGGTTATATTTTTTTAAAATCTTTGATCACCAAATATATTGAAATATATAAAACATATAAGACAAATTCTAAAACAGTAACAAAAAATAGGTTTGAAACAAGAAATAATGGCGATTTTATTGCAATGTTTCACTCATTTCAAAATATGAGATGACCTTTTTTATTATAATACCTGATGGAATGAAAAAAACATTTCTCAGCATCCATTGACTTTTCTTCATAGCTTACAAAAGTTAGGTACACTTATGATTCTGTGTAAATACAGCAAAAAAATATATTAGCACCAATCAGACAAGAACATGAATGAGTGGAAAGCAAACTAAATCCTCCCGTGACCTATACGAAGCAATAACTAAACATTTTGCCAGAACTTCATTAATGTTCCAGAAATTATTTTTACAACCTAAATTTTTAATGACACAAATATCTAGACATGTTGACTCAAATGGATGATTGAAGTAACTGCTATATTCCATAAATTCTCTACCAATCAACAGTGTGCAATTTTCAGAATTTGTTATGTTTTCAATTTGAACAACTTTATGATCTATTGAAATGAAATAAGAATCAGGGCTAGAGTGACTTCTGGTACAAAAAGTGTAAGTCTGGAATACTACTTTTTTGTACTGTTTACATAGATTGAGTCCATTTAGTACAGGACCATTTGTGGATTTATAGGAGACCTCACCAAAGGTTTCAACTGCCCAAGATAAGGAAATGCAGAAATATTATCAAGGGGACCAAAAGCTTCAACTTCCTCTTTTAGGTGACATAAAGAATGAACGTTATGTAGTAGAAACTCAGGTCCATATATCTTTCTGGAATGTGATATGAAAACCTCTAAAAAATTGGATGGTGTATGAGTTCCAATGATTGAAATATGTCTGCTAGATAAAAAAATTGTATAGCACAATGTAATAAGAGAAAGTGTGTTCATATAATGCCAAACTCAAGATGTTTTCTAAAACAACTGGACCTACATAAATAAGAAATGTGCGAAACTCAGTGGCCTTCCAGCGTAATAACTCTGTATAGATCTTGATTTTCTATTAAATTCAACAGGTAAACATTTTTTTAAAAGCACTAGTCGCTCTGATATTTGAGATATATGTTGATGCTGCAGGCGCACATATAATTTACCAGATACCCAAATATTCAACAGTTTCCTAGTAACACCTAGACAAACGCAATGCATATAGTCTATTGGGAATTTTGTTACCATACCTACGTCCAAGTCAATAAGTAGAGATACACCTGTATGATGATCTTCATTTTCTTGAGCTAGAAAAGAATGGTCTGTTCTCCTAAGTGAAGAGGTTCCTACATAAATCATTCGTCCTTGATATTCACCCTCTTAATAAAAGCTCGAGCGGGTGTATCACAGGCAAAGCTATGAATTTCAAACTGATATAATGTGTTATTAAAAAAATAACCATTTTTCAACAAATCAGTCATTTCATTTAGAAAATTATCAAGATAGAAACGAAGTGGTTTTTTACATATACCACATTAAATACCGACCACAAAAAGAGATTTAATATTTTTGATGAGACATAAAATTGGCCATAGTTGTGTGCTATTACTGTGAAACAGTATTCTCCTATACATTTGTGCTGTCTATATATCTATATTTCATTATAGATATAGTTCAATATTTTTCTCAATAGAATTATATTTGGTTAAGTCAGCAAGTAATTTTTGCATCCCAAATTTCAAACCAATATGGATATATACACCATTATTGTCTAGATGTTTTTCTATTGTATGTTTTGATGGTGTGTGAAGTAGAGTTCGGCAATCTAACGGAAGTTCTGAATTACATCAGTATGCGATATTGTACGTTTTGCACTTGCCCAAATAGCTAATTTTGATTGAAAATCAGAATCATTAGTGGTTAGATTATTTCTTGTTTCACTAGAAAGTAATGCACAATCCGAGAATTGACAATAATCTATTCCATTATTAGAAGACAGTTCAGATTTTTCTGGTAATTCTACAACTTTTTCTCCAAGAACGCTATTTGAACACAGAGGAAAAGACTGGACATTATTATTATGGGCATTAGGTGCCTCAGAAATATGAAAATTATTAGTTGACTGAGAAATGTGAAGATTATTAGATGCATCATTTTGTATCTCATTTGAAATTGTCTGAACACTAATGTTACTCTCCTATAAAATTGTCTTTGACCTACGACACTTTTTCGTTGCATCTCATGAAATTTCACATCTATTCATTTCTCATATTTTTGTTCAGCCTTTCAGGAGCATGCTTCAGCCATACTTTTATGGAATCTTCAATATCTTTTTCTGTTGCCTTGGGGATGACATGTTTAACAGAATCTGCAGAAGTTTTTAAATTAGAAAAAGGTTAAGAATGACCAGTGATGAATATAAGAATTTGGTACTCAATCTCACCTATAATCAATTTGTTGAGCCTCAAGTTTGAGAAGGCCTGTTTATTTCTAGAGCCACAAAAATTGAATGAACAAGATGCGGAATTTGTTAAAATTTGCCTCAGAATACGATTAGTACATGATGAAGTATCCTTCCCACCTAATGATACGAGGTACGAGTTCTAAAAGAAAAATTATTTTAGTAAATTTTTCTACTACACCTTGACGCATTTTTATTACCAAAGCACTGAAATTCTCCTTCAAGGATACATATTCTTCAAGTTTTATAATCTCATTTGTACTCGTGCAGGGTAAATCTATGGGTAATTCTGGCAAACCAAAGGAAGTGTAGGTTACTTGATTTCGATTACCTGTCCCAATCAAACCAGACTTCAAAAAGTTCAATATTTCTTTGTTCTGTTCTTTAATGAAGACCAAATTTTCTAGAATTTTCCTTTGTACTAAAAAAGAAAAAATAAAAAAAAAATTCTGTAACATATTGAAACTTATCAAATTGACCTGACTGTATTCATGTATTCACAAATACATCATCAGCAATTGTAGATTTTGATTGACTAAGACGTTTCTGTAATGCTTCATTTGATGTAGAACATGTATTTCCAGAGCCTGATGACCAACTTACTGGGGATTGGCTCTTTTGATTCCACCCAAAACTCTTTTCATTATTTGATGATACTAATGTTTGAGAGCAGTTGGACATTTGGCTGTGAGCACTCAACTCTTCAATGGGCCTTTTTACAGTCTTTCCTGCAATTGTAATAAATTTCATTATAGGGCAAGTTAGAAATAAATACAGACCATCCAGTTAACAAAATACAGTGAAAAATTACAACCTTCACAAGCTTCACTTGGTCTGGGAAGGTTAAAATTAGTCAATAAAGCAGGGCTGATTCCCAAATTGATAATATTCCACTTTTAACAAATCTTTTACCTCACATTTCACCAATCCAGGACATACCTGTATATGAAATTTTTTTGTGAATGAATATTTTCAAATTACTACCTCAAGTGTGTACGAAATTCATGCCATTTACCTCATCAACATGCCTTGCAAATGAATACAACGGAGAAAACTAACTAACCTGGTATCTTCTTAATAAAACCTTTGGGTGGCCTTTCATGTATTTCAGGTTCCTCATCATCACTACTTTCGATAACTAGATGCTTGGGCTTCTTCACCTGTCTGCGCCTGGTATGGTTAGTCTCATCCCCTGTATTTATATCACTGAATTCTTCAGCAAGTTTCAGTTTACTTTTGGTATTAGTTATGACTTTATTATCTTATTAAATTGGTGGTACATGCTTGAATATATATAAGGGATCTACTGAAAAAAATGTAGTAGTTTTAATTTTATTCACTAGCAAATAAGAATGTATATACTACCTACCAGTTTCATAGAATTTTTTTTTTATGGAAAACTTATCCCAATCGGACGACACACCCGAGAGATTTCGCACAGCTCTACGATATTCCTGCAATGGCGGCCAATACACATTCTGTTTTTCTGGCGTATACCACTTATCTAAAATAATAGCTAAGCTGCCATCATCAAATTCCACTACCTGATACATTATGAGAGATAGTATGACCACTACTGGCACTACACCAGATCACATGAAAAACTATTTCTAGTTAATTATTACCAATTATTTTAATAAATCCAAACAGAGCACAACAAACACCTCACGAAACAAAAACCTAAAACTGTGAAACGTGAAACTGTAAATGTGCAAAGGTAAGGTTGACATCATCGGCACGCAGGGGGGCGCTGACGATCGTGCCGTCGACAATCAGATGTTTAGGCCGACCAATGAAATAAAGCTTTTTAAGAAGCGCTCTCTTTCGAATTCGCATCGAGGAATGAGAATCGTTATAAGCGTAAGAGAAATTCGATTTTATATTTTTAATAGATGTAGGGAGAAAATTTTTCATAGAAATCATATATATTATAATCGCACAATATTGATACCGTGCACAGATTAACAATTATTAGAGATCGAAAATACAGCTCGCATATAATATATATATGACGTCATATTAAGGTCGTCAATATTGAGTACGTCAAAATGTCGTCATTTTGGGGTCACATGACGTCAATGACCATAAATGACAATATATTGACGTACAAATGACGTCAGCTTGTTACCTGGGAAAATATTCAATGGTTTCGTTATAGGCTCATACAATTTTTCGAGTGTCGTACGATTTTCAATATTATCATTCTTGATAGAGTTGAATTTCAGCCTGGCAGCTTCTGTTTTCTCTACTAGTTCATTTCATTGTTTTTATTTTCAGAATCGTTTTTTGTATTAATATTGCCTTCTTTAAATTATAGCTTGATTCGCTGATGAAGTGACCTCTACAATATTTAGCGACCGAATAAATTTGAATAACAAGATCATGGATATATTCAACGAAAGTAATTTTTTGTGCAGGAAAAAATCAGTTTTTTATCGACCTTTTTTGGGTGATTGTTACCTTCCACAATCTGAAAAAATATAAAAATTATCATGGATACATAAAACTATCGAATCCTTTGCGATATCTACCTTCATCTATTTTTCTGTCCTTATTAACGACTAGAAATCCATATTGGTCCTCTCAGCATTTAACACACATCAATTGGAATTGCTTGAATGTTACATCGGGTGATACATGATCTGAATAAAAGTGGTGTAAATTCGTCTCATCTTGTTTGAACATGATGAAATTGGTATTGCCACGCACTAATTGTTTGGGTACCCGTGAATATGTCTGTGCTAGATAAAAACAATCAACATCCTTATGACGCCCCATACAGAAATATCATCTAATAATATCCTGCTTTTCGCATATCACAATCATCGAAAATGAAAACAGACTTAGGCTTAGCGTCGGAGGGTCCACTATTTCTGCATAATTATGCATTCAGCAATAGCTGAATGCATAATTATGCATAATTATGCAATAGCCCGTTAAACTTCTTTTCCTGGTGAAAAAGACCATCTCAGTCTTCTTGGGATTGATCGACAGTGAGCGTTCCTTACACCATGTTTCTATTAATTTGAGCCTATCCTGCGCTCTATCGCACAGTTGTTTACAAATTTGCCGGTCTGCAAGATAACTATGTCATCTGCGTATGCAATTGTGTAGGATCCATTTTTGTTAAGGTGATTAATTAGGGTATCCAGAACCATGTTCCAGAGAAGGGGTGATAAAACCCCTCCCTGTAGACATCCCCTCATGACTAGTCGTTTCACTGTGATGTCTTCTACATCAATACTCATTGCTCTGCTAGAGAGCATCTGGAATATCCATTCTCCTACTACCAGGGGTACATTTCAGGAGTGTAGTTGTTCGATAATTGTTGGAAAGGTTGTTTTATCAAACGTTCCCTTGATATCTATGAATATACCCAGGGTGGATTCTTTGTTGTCCAATGATCTCCCGATTCTGCCAACCTCATGGTGAAGGGCCGAATCAGTAGACCTTCCCGGGGTATATGCATGCTGATTTGGATGAAGTGGGTTGTTAACAAGTACTTCATCTCTTATATACCGCTCACATAGCCTCTCCATGGTTTTTAAGAAAAACGATAAAAAAAATTGGTCGGAATGCTTTTGGTAGGGTGTAGTCACCTGGTTTGATATACCCCAGTCCTCTTCGAGTCTTGTACGTTTTGCCTTGTTGAAGGTCGTTCTCGCTGTCTTTCTGAGGTGTTCCAATTCAGGGCACCACCATGTGTTGGTTGCACACCAACCAACACATGGAATAAACGTGAGATAATAAATAACATCATCACCTATCCTATTCACATTCTACTGCTATCACATATCATTCCTCAGACCTAAATAAACATTACCATGATTATGATGCTTGATGATTATTATGATGATTATGCCGCTATTGATTGCTGAAGACGGTTCACCACTTGTTGATATCGATCACACTGATTTTAAAAATATTCCAGTAATACATTTATCGAATCAAGATTCGATAAATGATTTTGATATTAATGACTTCGTTAACTTTGCAGATGTACCGGAACCAAATGAGCAAATTGTTATTGAAAATCCAACCGTTTCGCAATCATCACCACTCAAACACCCTTCATCTACCCTTCTCTTGGTGTTGATAAGAAATCTAGAACAATCAAGAGGAAGGTTACTAATGCATCTTCATCGATTGTCACTGACTTCAAAGAAAAACAATCCAAAAGTGTCGTGCGACAGAAAAAACCACAACGAAAAGAGACAGATTGAAGAGGAAGCCGAAAGGTGCACCTAAAGAAATGAAGGGTGATATGAAAGCTGAATCGCTATCTTCTTTCAGTCCACTACATCGGTTTGGAGAAATGGAAAAGAAAGCAAAATGCCGCCTTGTAAAGGCACAGATGACTATTGCTGAACTTGAAGAGAGTGAGCGAGTTAATAGGGAAACTCTTCAAGCATAGATGCCAAGATTGCATTAACGAAGGTTGAATTGGCTCAAAATGTGTAAAGATGCAGATGAACTCCGTTCAAATATTGTTAAAGACAATCAATTCAATCAACGTTCGGGAATGCAAGCTCAGGCAGAGCTTGAGGCTTGAGGCGAAAAGAGTTGAAGAGTGCATTTCAAAGTGACAGCGATTAGTTTTGGGAATTGTAATGTGTTTTCAATATCGTGAGTTGATAATATAAGCGGGAATGGAGTATACAATTAATTTGGTTTGGTATACACAGAACGTTGCGAATGGCTGGGGCAACGTTTACCGCTGCAATATTTTTCAATCCACATACTTATAATTGAAATGAAAACAATAATGAACTTTAATATTACTTTATTCATAAATACAATAGCAGAATCCAAGAATTTTGTTCACTAGGAAGGCCTAACTACTTTACATATACTTATTTTTTCTTCTCTTCAACACCTTCTCAATCAGATATACGTCAGGATTCCCGGTTCGTTATAACTCTTCTTCGTAAAAACATCCTTTAATAGGTTTTTAATTTATATCTTCAAGATTATAGGTCGTTGGGATGGTTTGATTATTTTAACAATCTTGAAGAGCTGTGTGGTAAAGTTTGCAGTGTAAGACTTATCAAAATATTTTTGTACTTGCTTATACGTACAATATCATTCAATTGGAATTTGGGTTCACTTTGTTTTCCTCCAGTTCCATTGATACCTTTATTTCAATTTTGTTGTTGAATCAACATTGATGGGTGCCATACCTATTGTACGATGAACTTCATTGCTATATCTACTAGTTATATTTGGTGTTATTTGTGGTGACCTATCATCGAAAATTCCTTGTAGAGCCATGCCTCTATTTTACGAATCATTCTTTCTGCTATAGCCGCGTTCTTTGTGCAAAATGTTGAATAATGATTGATATTATATTCTCGCAACTTGTTTTCCAAAAACCGAAAAACCGACTGAATGCAAAAGGTCGTTTCACGAGGCGATGCTCTCTGGCCAGCTATGCTGATAAAAAGCTTTACTAGAAATTGTAGCTGAGTGTAAGCAGAATCCGGGGTCAGTGACAACGTAATTCCTCCCTCCGAAGATGGAAAACAGGGTTTCATGAAGAGAAAAATGTTTTCTGCTGCCTTGGTAAGGGTGGATCTGTATTTCCCTCTTGAGGTCCTTCAGGTGGTTGGTGTCGGACTAACAGGTGCTTGTATTTGTATATAACAAATATCAAAAAACATACTATGATTATAGCATATGCTGGAACTGTCCAAATATAACCTGATGATGGACGAATATGTGTTGTCAAGGGTAATAAGCGGTAGGCCTCTCTGTGGATTTCGTTTAGCTTTTCTAGAGTAACGTCTTGGAGTTTTAGAACTGGTACCACCTGGGTTGTTGGGATTTGAGGAAGCATTATGTCTGGTAGAAGTAGGGGTTGTTTTCCTATTTCTGTTGCTTGGTTGACATGTTCGTCCGTGGGGGTTTTGAACTGACATCCAAGAGGTAGGGAGATCGAGTGTGCTCCCTTGAGAGTGGTTATGTCTGTTGTTTCACAAATAGTCTGGATAGGGGTGGCATTCTTGAAGATGCCAATATAGTGGGCTTCATCTACTCGTTCGATAATATTTGATTGCTGTTGGATTGGTATCAGCTCGCAGTTAAGTGGGTTACTGTCGATGCTCAGGATTTGGAAGATACAATCGCTCGTGGTGGATCCCGGCAGGAGGTTGTTCCAAGGGCAGTAATGGACATCGTGCAGGTCCAGGCAGGGCGTTGTGGAATATTGAAAATACACCTCATCCGTTGTCAGGTAGGGTGAAGGTGGTATAATGGTGGTTCCATTCAAGGTAGGAATCGAGTATAGATGGTAAAG